AAGAGGGCGAGCAGAAATGCCAGAGGCCTCATGGATACCTCTCGGAGTCTCTTCGGATGTCTCTTGAGAGCGTCTTGGAGTCCTCTTGGGGCGTTTGGGGGGCCTCTTGGCGGTCCCAGGGGCCTCTTGGGGCGTCTCGGGTCAGGGGAGCAACTTAGGGGTTTCTTGGAAGCCTTTTGGGTACTTTTTGGAGGGGTCTTGTGGCCTCCTGGGTGTCTCTTGGGGCTGGACTGGGGCCCTCTTGGGATCTCCGGATGCCCTCTTGACAAAGCAAGGGAGAGTGGTCAAGTAGCCTGCCCCCCTGCAGCCCTTGATAAAACACAGCCCCTTCTTAGGACTCGCGTGAGGCGTTCTTGGGTCGCTCTTGGGCGTTCTCGCGACCGTCTTGGGACTTTCTTGGGGTTCACTTGGGCTTTCTTGAAGCCACCTTGAGACTTGGGAGGGTCGTCAACAGCGAAAAGGCGAAAAGGCGTGATGCTCCTCGGGTGTTTGAACGATTCGGGCCTGGTGGTTTCCTTGGGAGATTCCGTGGCGGTCTTAAGGGGTTGTTGGAGCATAGTGAGCGCCATCTTGAGTTACCTTGAGCCATTTTGGAGATCATCTCGATCACTCTGAGGCCTTCTTGGATCCATCTTGGGCAAGATTGGACGCTCCAGGGAGTAGCCGTTCCCCCCTCCATTCACCGTCCAGGTCCAGGGGAGGGGGCAGAGGGAGGGGTCAAGACACTTCTCCCAGACGAGACGAAAATTGGTTGGCTCCTTCCCATCCGCCCTCCCAACACACGAGTAGTACCCGAGTCTCAGCATGTTCAGCGGTCGTCCTGGGATGGGCAGCTACCGAGAAGAACCATTGCAGACCCCAGGTGCACGACGCCGGGGCGATGTGCGCCACGCGTGCCAGGCGCGCCACGCGCGCCCGAGGCCCGAATTGGCCAGGCACGCCTGGTGTGCCAGATGTGCCGCGTGCGCCAAGCGTGCGGCATGAGCCAGTTCGGCGATCGCAAACATGGATCAAGGTGGCGTGGATGAGCGACGGGCCCCGCTTTCGTGGGAAATCTGTGATTTTCGCCGTCGAACGAGGCGGCGCCGGCCGCATGTGGGGGAGGGCACCTTCCCCGATCCATGGATTTGGCGACCGCGCGCCAAATCCAGGGATCGCTAATCCATGCTTGCGCGCCCCCGAACCAGACGCGTCATGTGCACCACGTTCGGAGCACGCGCAGAGCGTGCCAGGTCCATCATCCCTGTCGGCAACCAATGAACGATAGCAGCGGAATGGCCATCTCGACGCCCAGTTGGCCTGCACACGGCAGGCAACGTGCCAGCACCCACGCCGCCTTCGTCAGAAACATATGCAACGTGATCTCGGGATGCCAGTGAAAACAATGAAGAGACAGTTTGATCAAGATTCAGCCGCGCAAGTGCAGTTTGCAAGGCTTTTGACACGGACGGTGGCCCTGCGCACAGCAGGCCACATGCTGGCACTGCCGCCGCCCCTGTCTGACAAAAACAGTGGATGTTGTATTTTGAGAGGGAGGGGGTGTTTGTTCACAGGGAGAAGTGATCAAGCTCCCCCCCCTTCCCGAAGGACGACCGCGTCGCTCGCTCCCGTTCGCCCGCCACATAAGTAGCATTCGAGTCTCTGCTCAGGCAGGGGCCGCCATCGACAACCATCGGGAACCAGTGCAGACGCCAGCCCGGTGCACGCAGCATGCGCCAGGCGCGCCACGCGCACCAGTTCTGCCTCATTGGGCAATGTGTCGACCCGCCCAAGCATCCCTGTCAAAACCAAGAGGCTCCTGGTGGAAAGTGCACTTTGTATTTTTTGTGCGAGGGATGCTTGGAGGGAGATGGCATTGCACACAGCAGGCAATATGCCAGCCTACCTCCGCCGCCTTGCCAAAAGCCAATTTCAAGTGATGGCGGTGCGTCCGCGCATGATCCAGATTTTGGTGCAAAGTGCATTTCGCAGTGTTGGTTAACAGCGATGGCGGGGGGGATGTTGGCATGGTCCTGGGTTTGTCGCCTGTCGGGTGGGGGAGTGGGTGCACATCAGTAAGGAACAGTGATCAAGCTACCCCAAGCTGCAAGCCGTGTCGCTCACTCCCACCCGCCTTCCCATTTCAAAGTGCCGTTCGAATCTCAACACAGGCAGAGGCCGCCAGCGACAACAACCGTGAACCAATGCAGAAGCCAGCCAGGTGCGCGATGCCCGCGCGGTGCGCCGCACGTGCGAGGTGCGCCACGCGCGCCAGGTGCGCCTCATTGGGCAATGTGTTGACCCCCCCACATGGTTTTCCCCACATCCTACATGGGTGTTTTGTTTTCCCTGGACACCCCGCGCAGAAACAGGAACCCACCTACATCATCATCCTCAGCAGCATCACCATCAATCTCATCCTCACAATTACCAAACTCATCATCATATGGCATCCTACTACATCAGCATCAGCATCACAAACATCATTAGTATCGCAAACATCATGATCATCACCATCACCCACCAAAATCAACACCACGACCATCATCCCACCATGATCATCGACCATCATCGCAATCACCCACTCACCCTCTCACTCATTCACCCATCACTCACTCACTCACTCACTCACTCACTCATCATCACGTCAGGACCACACCATGATCACCTGCCATCACTATCACCGTCGTCTTTACCATCGCACACCACCGTCCTCACTATCTTCATCCCAATCTGATCATCGACCAAGAGGGTGCCTCGTCTGTGAGTGAATTGCGAGGGAGGAAGTTTCAAGCGGGAGCCCCGTCCTTCTGGGGCACGCACTTCACGTTCGAGTCCGAGGCGGGTCATCGGAAACTTGTAATTGTCGTCACTTCCAGGCTCTTGAAACTTGAATATGAAGGACGTCTCGAGCGGGAGCCTCGTCTGTGAGGGAATTGCGAGGAAGTCTCAGGCTGGAGCCCCCTCTCTATGAAAGCTCATGTTCGAATTCGAAACGGCTCATCTAAAAACGTATCACCGTCATCACTTTGGGCTCCTCAGCCCTGAATTTGGATGAAGTCTCGAGCGGGCGTCTCGTCTGTGAGTAAATTACAAAGAAGTCTCAGGCGGGAGCCCCTGACCTCTGGGGCCCGCAGCTCATTTTATTTATCCGAGCGGGTCATCACTTTTGGGCTCCTGAGGCCTGACTACGGAGGAAGTCTCAAGCGGGAACCCTCTCCTTATGTGGCACTCACTTCGTGTTCGAATCCAAGGCGGGTCATCCAAAAAATTATAATTGTCATCATGTTTGGGCTCCTCAGGCTTGAATTACACCAGAGAAACCCCAATCAGTGGATTGTTTTCGCTGAGGAGATCGACCGGGAACCCAGGAGCGCCGGAACCCAGAACCCCCGAAATCGGCCCAGAACCAATAACCGGGAACCCGGGAACCCGGAGCCAGTAACCCAGAAACCCAGTCTGCTACCAAAATCGGCGGGAAATTTTCGTCTAGTCTGTCATGTTCCGCTAGGAACCCTTCAGTACAAGCACTGATTGGGGAATATGGAGGAAGTGTCAGGCGGGAGCCTCGTCTGTGAGTGAAAGGCGAGGAAGTCTCAGAGGGGAGCCCCTCCCAATGAGGCCCACAGCTCATTTTATTAATTCCAGCGGGTCATTCAAGAACTTGTACTTGTCGTCACGTTGGGGCTCCTCAGGCCTGAATATGGGTGAAGTATCAAGCGGGAACCTCGTCCGTAAGTGGATTGGGAGGACTCTCAGGCGGGAGCGCATCCTTATGGGGGTCGCAGCCCACGTTAATATCCCGAGCCGGTCATCAAATTCTTGTAAGTGTCGTCAATGTGGGGGTCCTGAGGTTCGAGCATGGAGGAGGTGTCGGGCGGGAGCGTCGTCCAGGAGTGGATCGCGGGAGCGTGTCCAGCTCGCGCTCGGCAAGGTCACCTATTTGAATGGCCTCCGGCCAGCGCCGCTGATCCGAGGCGCTCCAGATGCTGGTGTCGGGGCGGGCGAAAGGAGGGGATTGGGAAAGGGGGGGGTACGACATTTGCTGCATGCAGCTGGTTTCGGCCTCACCGAGGGGCCCATTCCTCGATACATAGCCGCCTCCGGCGCCGGGAGGCGCCGGGAAAATCAGCTACGTGAGCTGATTCTCAAACCCCCCCTTTGCTATCCCCCCCTTTCGCCCGACCCGATGGTGGCACGACGACGACGGCGGCGACGACGACGACGATGGCGACCTCGGCGCCGACAGCGGACGACTTACGACTCACAGGAGGAGGGAGGCGGGAGGCGGGAGGCGGGAGGAGGGCGGGTGGGGGAGGGAGGAGTGAGGGGGGAGGAGGTAGGAGGGAGGAGGAGGAGGAGGAGGAGGCGGAGGAGGAGGAGGAGGACGAGGAGGAGGAGGAGGAACAGCAGGAAGAGCAGGATGAGGAGGGAGGAGGCAGAAGGATAATGAGAATGAGGATGAGGACGAGGATGAGGACAATGATGATGGTGGTGATGATGATGCTGATGATGATGATGCTGCTGCTGCTGATGCTGATGAGGATGATGATGTAGGTGATGATGATGCTGGTGATGATGATGATGACGATGATGATGATGATGATGATGACGGTGATGGTGATGGTGATGATGATGATGATGATGATGATGATGCTGATGCTGATCATGCTGGTGATGATGATGATGCTGATGCTGATGATGATGATGATGCTGATGCTGATGCTGATGCTGATGCTGATGATCCTGATGATCCTGATGATCCTGATGCTGATGATGCTGATGATGCTGATGATGCTGATGATGCGGATGATGCTGAAGCTGAGGAGGAGGAGGAGGAGGAGGAGGA